ATCGATTGACTTTACATCTCAGACCATCATGTGGCAAAAAAGAAGTACTTACTTTGTTTATGATTGAAAGAAAAAGGAGGATATGTGTGAAAAGCATCTAATCGAGAGAATATGATCACCTAATTTATTTCTTTTTCCTTGCAGTTCCTGAGTCACGTTTTTGAAAAGAACGTGGTTGCTTTGATTTTAAATTTCATCGACATAAAGGAAACAAAACGTTCATCGCGGTTAGCCTTTGAACCTCTGAAATACCTGGCTGCACTTCTGTGCCACAAAAAGTTCTCAATCGAGTTTCTCAGCATGAATGGTCTCCAGGTATGAATATGTCTTAGAAAATCCATTTCTTGATAGCTTTCTTTCAGTATCGTCCATCGCATTCTCGTTGATGTTACTCTGTAGTAATAATTTATGATTTTTAGCTTTTCTAACTCTCTTCAGTATCTTTTGTGGGAGGTTATGTGAGGGGGGTGGGGTGAAAGAGGGTAGAAGCATTTAGAAACGTATTGCACTTTTGTCTTCGCATTTAAAACTTTAGTTACCTCGTGAGAATTCTGCTCACAAATTTTTGAACACTTTGTGAGCCAGTTTAAGTTGTCTGTTGTGATAATCTAATTTTGTGCTTTTCTCTCTTCGTGCAGCATCTTCTGGAAGTCCCTCAACCAGGCATTGCAGCAACTGGTGTCTCAATATGCTTTTACTACTTAGCATACTGTGAGGACGCCATTGAAAGAGTGTGCTTATTGCCCAAGGAAATTTTTCATGAAGTTGTTAGGTAATGCCTTATTTATGCCCAGCTTGTTAGTTGAATGATCAGTTTCTCCACACCTTCCTCCTTGCAGTCACAAAAACTTCTGATCACTCTATCTTAAAAGACAACCTTGATTGCCCTGATTGATGTAGATGTCATCATCATGTAGATGTCATGCGTAAAACATCATGGAGTAGTAAATTCAAGTTGGTCGCAGTGTGAAGTGCCACAAAGATTTTTCAAACGAAAAGGAAAATTTGTATTCAGATTTTATTATCACTGGCAGTTGGCATTATTGATAAGCATTAAGTGTTGGATTTTTTCAGTTGTCATCAATATTCATGAAATTTATACAATTTTCCATCCTCTTATTCTAGGTATGGTCTATGGTTACTAGGATGTTCACATGATTCAGGCAGATGTCACGCTACGATGTTCTTCGGTCTTTTACTTCAATTTCAGACCATCCTTGAGGAGTTTGACACTCAAGTTGGACTTAGAATCTTATATAATGTTGTGAGTTTTTTTTTGGTTTTGTTCTATAAATTTCACTCTGCATAGTAATATAGTTTTAATTGTTCCTTAAAATTTTTACCTCTACATAATTTGCGAATAATTAAATACGTAACTGGATAAATAATTAGATAAAGAATTGATGTAGTTCGTCTTAAGTAGAAGTTTTCAATAATGGAAAGGAAAAATTTGAAATGAATACAATTTTTAATGTGAAAATTAATTAATATTCAAGCACCTGCGACTTGTTTACATCAAATTGAGTGCAATAGTAATTTAAGTAATGTTTTCTAGAATTCGAATTCTACTTCTAGACCTACGTAATAATAATTCTAAACTAACTAACTAACCAACCAACCACTGCAATGGAAACCAGACGTTTTTCAAAAATGAAGTTTCTTCGTTAAGAGAATGCTTAAGAAAGTGAAATTCCTTTGAGTTTTAAGGGGAACACCCACAAAAAAAGTCACCCTCCTACTTGTTTATGGCAAATTTAGTCTTGATGTAATTTCTTATTTTTGCAGATGAGTATGTTACAACTCTTATCAAACGAAGGTGATACAGTCAACGTGTATGTCATGTGTGCGTCGCTCTGAAACGTTACTTACAGGCCCCTCCCTCTTTTTAAGGTGCACAAACTCCAACTAGGTGAAATAGGACTGCCAAGTGATAAGGTAGGCATTTTTTAACGAATTAGCAGGCTAAATTTGTGTGGACTGGTCATGATGCAACATATAAAGAAGTAAAAAACGGTGAAGGCAGACAGTATTTGAAGAAACAAATTTTCCTCTCTTCTTCTCTCGAGCGGATGATTTTTCATAGTTTCATCCACTCAAAGTTGTG